TTCTGTATGTAAATACCATACAAGCTATTGAACAGGATAACTGTATATAAACAACATGCAAGCTATACACAACAGTATTACTCTCAAGATAATGAAGGTTGGCATGTCAGGGAATGAACACTAGGGTGGGTGAGTACAAGGACTGCTTGTTCTACCCTATACTCCCACAGAGGGCCTGTTATTCTGGCATACTCAGCTTGGAAACCACACGCAGAACCTGGAACACTCCAGATATAAGGCAGCATAATCTATGCAAACTGAACAGACCATACGATGGCCTATTGGGTTTGTTCACTTTGCAAGCCAAGAGCAGAAAATTCAACTGAAGTAGTAGTTGCTGGTGAAAACTAAGTACAAAAGACTTGGATGGTGCCTGGATGGTGCCTCAGACCCATTATGAAGGTGGTCTAGTTGTATATTACCCATTACTCAGGTGAGCAAAATCCTAGAGATAAACTATCAAGAAAAAAAGAGGTTCATAGTTCAATGATGAAAGTTTGGTGAGATCCCTAGGCAATCTCATGAATTTGAGTGTTAGGAACTAGCAAATACATATAGGAACAGGAAGCTGGAAAGAAGTTGAATTCCACAACCTCTTCTGAGGTCCTGCCTCCAGTGACCCATGCACATCCCTCGCCATTCTACCTCTTAAAGGGTCCACAGAAGCTCTACAACTCAAAGCTAGGAGCAATGCCCAACCATTGGGGAAACACATTTGAACCATACTCAAACCACACCAGGCACTTTTCATGTTACCTGTTTTTTCCAAAGGTATTCTTTTCAATATTATATTGAACAATGCTCTCTACTATAAGATACAAAACTTACAGCATATAGCCACTTCCAGCCATGCCAGGATTATACATGCTACCAAGGCTCAAGAAAGTCTCTGGAAATAAAACGAAGACTCAAAACAACAGGCTTAATTACTGATTATATCTTTTAAATGAAAAATGGTGGAGCCTGGGGTCCTGCAGTGCTGAGTCCCTGCATCTGTTCCTCATTCATCAAATGTTTATTGACAGCTTCTTATGCTTAGAAGGGAAATCTAAATTCTCCTCAGCAGCTGTACTCCTGGAATGGTGCTGGCATAACTCTGAGAATTGGGAGCTGAAGAGAAAAAGGTATATGCAAATTTCAGAATCAAAACACCGTGGAATACTATTCCATATCCTCTGTAGTCAAGGTTTCTTTGTTGCTTTTTAATTCTTAGACCTAAACAGAAGGATAATCTTGAGAGAGGAAAGGTATGGAGATAGGAAAAAGGAAAGTGGGGAAAGAATGTATAAAAACACACTTTAATACAATGAATAGATATATAAAAATTGCCAACAAAGAGCCTACTGCTTTGTATGGCAACTTGTACTGGCCAGTTGTTACTGTCAATTTGACACAACTTAGAGTCACTTGGGGAGGGGGAACCCCAAATGAAGAATTCCTTGATAAGACTGGCCTGTGGCGGGGCGTTGGTGGTACACACTTTTAATCCCAGCACTGGGGAGGCAGAGGCAGGCGGATCTCTGTGAGTTCGAGGCCAGCCTGGTCTCCAGAGCAACTGCCAGGATAGGCTACAAAGCTACACAGAGAAACCCTGTCTCGAAAAACAAAACAAAACAAACAAAAAACAAACAAACAAACAAAAAAGACTGGCCTGTGGCCATGTCTGAAAGAATTTGTCTTGGTTGATGATTGATGTGGGAGGGCCCAGCCCACTATGGGCACTAGACAGGTGGCATGGGTGGCAAAATCAATGGTAGAATTCTCACCTGCTTTGGCAGATAGGCATGGCTGCTGTAAGAAAACTAAGAGAGAGTTCAGAGAACCATCTAGCAAGCAGCTGCAGTAGTTTGGATGAAAATGGCCACCATAGGCTCATATTTGAATGCTTGGTCCCAAGTTAATGGAACTGCTTTGGAAGGATTAGGAGGTGTGTGATGTGGGCTACTGCTGTTGTACACTGTAAAGATGTGTCACTCATATTGGTTTAATGAAACACTGACTAGTCAGTAGAGAGGCAGGCAGTATAGGCATGGCTACCAGACTAGGAGAATTCTGGGAAGAGGAAAGGTAGAAATGGAGTTGACAGCCAGACACAGAGGAAGTGAAAATGCCTTACTGAGAAAAAGTACCAAGCCATGTGACTAAACATAGATAAGAATTATGGGTCAATTTAAATTGTAAGAGTTTGTTAGTAATAAGCCTGAGCAATAGGCCAAACAGTTTATAAGTAGTATAAGCCTCTGTATGTTCATTTGGGACTAAGTGGCTTTGGGACTAGGCAGGACAGAAACTTCAATCTACAGGGGTGGCTTTTTGGAGGAGGTGTGTCACTGGGGTGGGCTTTGAGGTACAATTAGTCCCAATTAGTTCTCATTCTCCCTCCCCCCTCCCTCCCTCCCTTCCTTTCCCTCCTCCACCCCCTCCTTCCCTCACCCTCCTCTCTGCCGCTGACCTGGGGATCAGATGTGGGCTCTCAGCTGCTGCTCCAACACATCTGCCTGCTGCCATGCTCCCCACCATGATAATGGACTAACACACTGAAACTGTAAAAACCCAATCAAATGCTTCCTTATTAAAGTCACTTTGGTTATGGTGTGTCTTCACAGCAATAGAAGTTATTAAAAACAACAGTCCTTATCCATGGTTTCTGCCTCTGCTCCTGCTGGAGTTCTTGCTCTGACATCCTTCAGTGAGGGACTGTGACATTATATAAGGCAAATAAACCCTTTCCTCTCCAAGCTGCTTTTGATTGGGGTGTCTTATCATAGCAACAGAAAACTAGATGTAGAAATTTAACCATTTAAAAAGCTGAAAAACCCCCATTCCTCCCCACCTTATTGTAACAGAAGCGAGTCCTACATTGTGCCTCTTCAGGGTCCCATGTGAATGCTCAGTTGGCAGTGTTAGTAAGATCAGCAGTCCATGGGTTCTGGTCCATCCCAAGTCTCTTACGTCCACACCTCAGTAAGAAGGTGTGTGGACAGGGATGCTCTGAGTATGTGGCCTATGGCTGCTCTGGCTCTCCAGTGCTCATAATGAGATGAAAATGAAGCCATGTGGGCAGCTCAGGTTGAGCCAGTTCCTGCTCACTTCACTTAGGCTGATGAGATCAAGAGGTAAGCACCTCCTCCTGGTCAGCAATGTCCATGAGTTTTCTCGGGGGTCCATGCCAAACAGGAATCCTCAAATGCAAACCTTCTTAAGTCTACTATGCTTTAGATTCCATATTTGAAATTCATACTCAATAGAATCGTTTTACTAGTGTCTCATATGAAACTCAATAGACATTCTCAGTCCTACTTCTTCTGAGCATGTGGGCTCTTTCTAGACACTTTTGACTGGTAGCTGAAGACCACATGATTAGTTCCAGGAAATAACATGAGGGTAGAAATGGCATGTCTCTTCCAGGCCATGCTTATTTTTTTCCCCTCCAATGGTGACTTTAGAAGCCAAGTTCTGAGTGTGGTGGTGACACTAGTGAAAGATCTGGATGCTGCCTCCCACATGGAAAAGAGGCTGGGGTCAGCACCTTGTGACACAAACCAGGGACTTTATTAGGTGTAGTCACAGAGGGTGGATGATTGGGTATGGCTTCTCATTATGGGACATCTCCCCAGTGATAGGGAATGTCCTTCTGTATCCTGTAACTATAAGGTTTTCTTACTGGTTAATGAATAAAGGCATTTCGGCCGAAGGACAGGCAGAATTTAGCTAGGCAGGAATTCTGAACAAAGAGATAGAGAGAAGAAAGATAAGAGTCAGAGACCCATGCAGCCACCGGGAGTCAAGAGACATGGGCATCACCAGTAAGCCAAGGCTATGTGGTGATAAACAGATTAATAGAAATGGGTTAACAATGAAGAGAGAGCTAGCCAGTTAAGAAGCCTAAGTCATTGGCCAAACAATTATAAATATACATTAAGTCTCTAAGTTATTTCATAGAAGCTGCAGGGACCTGGTGGGCAGAAAGAAACCAGACTGAGATAAATGGAGAAAGTCTCCTTCTATAACCTACGGTGGAGAGAGAGGGAGGGCTGTTCTGTTTCTTCGCTTGTGGGTCAAATATGTTCTACTTACAAGACATTTTTGCTTATTGGTTTTGTTTTTGAGATAGGGTCTTCTTCTGTAGTCCAGCCAGGCCTGGAATTTCAGGTCTCCTGCCTCAGCCTCCTTCCTTATTATGTAACACCTGCCCAGTGGTGCTTTACTGTTATTTTGTTGTTGGTTTGTTTTCAGTTTTTTCCTCTTGAAGTTTCTTACCCACTTTGAGATGTCCTAGTCGAAAGTTCACAGGATCAGAATTCCTGGGAGTCTTTGTTTCCTTTGGTAGGGGGTTGGGATAACACTTTTGGAAACCATTGTCCCATTTTTATAAATCAAGTGATATGACTGACACCCAATCGCTTCAAGGTTTTTTCAAATGTTAAGTAAAATCATAGATATTATGGGGGTACAACATGAGGTTTTAATACATGTATACAATGTGCAGTGTTCAAATCAGGGAGCTGACATGCTCAACATCTCAAACATTTATCATCCTTAGTGGTAGCAGCAGTTAACACACTTGAGATATTTTGAAATTAAAAAAGGTAAACTGAGTCATACATATCACTGGGTACAGGGTTCTGAGTGTCTTTCATTCTGAATCTACTCTTAAATCATTGAGGCATTTAATAACCATAAAGACTGCTCACACTCTTCATCATGAAAATATTCAGGCATCTCTCTCTCACACACACAGTAATAACAATCAGATAAAATTTAAGCAATTAAAAAATGGGAGGGGACAGTAAAATGGCTAAGTGACTAAAGAAGCTTGCCACCCATGCCTGAGGACCTGAATTTGATCCCACTCATGCAGAGATGAGAGAACCAACTCCACAAAGTTGTCCTCTGACCTCCACATGCATGTTGGCATGTGCAGCCACACATCCAGATCATGCATACATACTATGATAACAAATTTAAAAACTTTAATAAAACAAAAATACTTCTGCAGCTAGGATATTTTCCATTTTATTTAATCTTATAAATGGAAAACTTAAAAGGCGTTAAATAGCAAGCAAAATAATTATACTTTATCGACAATTCAGAAGATAACAATACTTTCAGACATTTTTCAAATACTTTTACAAAGAAAAATAAATTATAATAAATGACACGTCTAATGAAACCTGACTTTCAATAAAGCTAACAAAATAATTTTGAAAAACAAAACTCTATATCCTGAATTTTTCACGTCATGAATATATATTTTCCTATGTGATCATCATTCAGTCCAATCTGTGGTAGAAAGTTGAAATGGATTCAGATGAGAGTCCCTTTGGGTTAGCATGCATAGATCTACCCACATAGAAAGTAGCCAGTTCTAACAGGAAATCTGAACAATTGGGTGATTTGGCCTTTCACTTGCTAGGCAATAAATTCTAGACCTAGCCATGTTTCTTTTTATACGCTCAGTCAAAGCAATCAGGTCCAGGAAGCCGTGTGGTTAGGTAACATGCAGCCACTTAATGGTAGGAAGCACCCTGTCATCCTCCTTAGACAAATTTTTAATTAAGCGAAGATAACTGAGTCAAACTGATCAAATTAAACCCATTTCCAATATTTTTTTAATTTTATACTATTGATGCTTTATATTTCAATAAATTATTTTATTGCTCAACAGTTAATATCTACTGAACCACTCATGTCATATAAACAACTATATTTATTATCTCCATTGCCTTGTTCTGTATCTTTTCCATCTTGAGAGAAGAAGAAAAAGGAGTTGCATACAAGACCTACTAGATATTTTCAGTAACAAAGGCACTGGCACCTGTCAGGGACTGAAGTGAAGCAGGTGAGCTGTGAAGATTCCGTTAGAAACGACACCCATATACACTTAAGCTGACATTTCTAGAACTTAGAATATATCAAAGATCACACCCTGTTAGGAAGTTCACAAGTGTGTTTCCATGAATGGCTTATAAACACTTTAAGAACACCATCTAACAAGACTCAGAAGTGGCTTTGGCGACAAGCCAGCGTACACAACAGGGAAGCAGTGGGCGTTGCAAACACAGGATTGTTGGCTTGTTTTAAGTGGCGCTACCTAACCTGAACACATCCTAGCTACCACTTCTTAACTGTGAAGAAACTGGGCCATGTGGAAGGAAAGAGTCTGTGGTAAAAGCCACGTAGGAACAGTGTTTTGACAAGTGGCCTCTGACGCTGATGAACACTCTTTGGAGTGTCAGGGAACAGAGACAAATAGCTAATGGTTGAGAGTCTAGCCCAGGGGAGATGAACAATGGCTTTCCTCTCATGACTTCACGGTGGAAATGGCACCCACACAACTGACTAACTTTCAGGGAAAGTTCCCACTGTGATGGGAAGTAACTGCTGGGGTCATTTCAGCCACCATATGATGGATGGATCAAGAGAGCAAACATGAGTTCAGCAGGTATGCCCGCTTCCCCTTTCTTCCAGGCCTGCAAACAATGTTAATACCTGCTGGAATCAAAATATCTTCTCCAAAATTCTTTAGAAAATATAATTCTGCAGAACTAAATATTATAGAAAAATGATCAAATGATAAATATATCTTTGGGTACCCTGATACAAGAGTGCATGCCTTTTATACTTTGCACCTAAACAGTGATTCACACTAAAACTTGTACTATTTCCCTATCTGTCATTCTATGTTTCTCTTTCTGTATTGTGACTTCGGCAGTCTTACTATGTAGGAAATCCTGTCTGAGAAGACACTCACAGTGGTGTGCAGAACTTAAAAAGGACTGCAGTGACCCACTGTTTAAAAACCCACTGCACTTGGTGAATTCCACAAGTAACAGGTGAAGGTACAAAAATAAAACTAAGCACACAGAGTAGAGTATATGGTGAGGACAGCTGCCAAGAGCCTCATGCTGTTCATCTTCAGTGAGTTTTAACTCACTGTATGCCACTGCAATTTTTAAATATTTAATATATGTCCCAAGTCAAATTCCTACGAAATTACTTTCCTCGTAACCTCATCTACTTTCTCTGCACAAGACTAAAGACTTGAAGTAACACTTTAACATAAAATATATAAAAATTATTAGAAATATCTAACATGAATGTTTCCAAAGTTTTGGTTCTTATGAATTTATACCAAAATAAAGCTTCTGATACATTTATGAGCTCACACCTGAAGACAAAGTGATGATGTAAGCAAAGCTGAACCTGAACATGTTAACATTTACATAGAAAAATAGCGAATTCCACAGACAGCTTGGTGACGTCTTACACACTAACAACCAGGAGAACTATGGGCTGAGAAGTCCAGAAGATGACCCGGCACTCATTCCTTTAAAGTCCATAATCCCCATCTTCACCATCAAATGAGCTTGTTTGCCTTGGGATGTGTGTTTGGAGATGGTGAAGAAGGCTTTCTCAGGATGGTGCCTGAAGTGTCTCAGTATTTTCTAGATAGTTTCTTACTGTTTCAAGCTTCCTAGGCATGCATTTCAGGGCTCCTTTACTCTGCCCACTCAGATCAATGGAAGATTGAGTAAGAATGCTATGAGGCTAGGAAGTTCCAAAATCCTGTATTTTGTCATGTATCAATGATTTCTGAAAGGACTCCCAGGAGGCAAGGGAGCATGCGACTAGAATACTGCACAGCTAGTCAGCTGACTCCTGCTGTGTAAGATCTCACCTCCTGTGACCAGCACACCCCAGAGCTAGCCAGTCTCCCACTGTTTAAGGAAATGGTAACTGCTTTTCCTGTGTGAGGTCTATAAAGCCACCAGGCAGGATTTTTCTGTCACATATATTCAAATATCAGGAACACACTCTCAAAAGATGAAAATATAATTAAATAAACTCTATCATAAAATTAAGGTGTATGTGGCTTTTCATTCTTCTTGACTGTGACATGAAAAATAATAATAATTTAAAAATCTCTGCATGGAGTCAAATAGCAGGTTCTCGTGACTTGACTTGAATAAGAGCTCTCGACAAAGTCACCTGACATTTCTGGGACTCCATTTCCTATAATGGTAATTGTTATGTCTAGTTTATGACAGTTTGACACAATCTAGAGTAATTTTGGAAGAGAGACTCAATTAAGAAAATGTCTCTGTAAGACTAACCTGTAAGCAAGTCTGTGGGGGCATTTTCCAGATTGATGATCAATTTGGAAGGGCTCTGTCCATTGTGGGTGGTGCCATCTCTGGGCTGGTGGTCCTGGATACTATAAGAAATCAGGCTGAGAAAGCTATGAGGAGGAATCCGGTAAGCAGCATCTTCCACAGCTTCTGCATCAGCTCCTGCCTCCAGGTTCCTGCCTTGACTTCCTTTGATGGTGGACTGTGATGTGGAACTGTAAACTGAAATAACTCTTTGCTCCATAAGCTGCTTTTGGTCATGGTGCTGTATCACAGCAATAGAAACCCTAAATAAGACAGTAACTGAGGGAGCAGTATTCCAGATACTTCAATGGCCTTTCCACCTACGACCAAAGCAGGTCAGAACCTTGGTCAGTACTTCCCAGGGAAGTACTCTCTACTCTCCGTAGAGCCTAACAGTGAAGTGATTCTGGCTCTGAGAACTTTCTGATGTTTACATGATAGTCAGTGGGCATCGTCTATCCTTCCAGGGGCTGTTGGAAGCATTACCCATGGAATAAAAACACAACCTATACATTTCATACATGTACACAAGGGCTTACTTTGTTTGCTATTGTGGGCTGCTACAGAAAGAGTCTGTTAACTATGTCCCTATTTAATTTCCACACTGTTTAATTCCTTAATCTTCTCAATAGTGGTAAGAAAGATAATTCTTATTCAAAGTGTTTCTTACAGAATCAAAGAATAATAGGGTATGCTTATTGTTTAAGTTTTGGGTTTTAATTTTTTTTCAGTTTTCAAAGCTAATTTAAAATTTTTCATTGTCATTAGATAAGAGCAAGAATCTGCCATAGTTTACCACAGGCACAAAAGATGACCAGTTCACGATCCAATCACAATATTCTGCCAACATACACAAGAGTTTGGCACTGTGTTTAGATGTACAGCGATACACTATACTGGTTCTTAACTCCTGTTAGAACTGGGACAACAGAAGGCTCATAGCTCTTCTACTATTTCAAACCAGATGCAAAGCATGTAGAGTTCACATTCAGAGAGAGACCCTGTGGGGCACCAGCTACAGCTACTGTAGTTGGATAAAGAATTTCTTCAACAGTGACATACGTGCCCAACAAGAAGCCGACGACTCCAGTGAAAGCTATGGAAATGTTTTTCAGGACCATCCATATGTTGTAGTGTTCCTTAGAGAATGTAAGGATTTCCACGATGGGGGGCAGGATCAGGGCCAGCGTGCTGCTGCTCACAGCCCCAACAAAGGAGATCACGATGTCTAGGCGAGGAATGAGAACTGCTCCAGCACCTATTAAAAAATGGCTTCTGTTGACTTGTTGGCTACACATGTAGGGACTAAATGTGGACCTTTTTGACACAATGAAAGTAATTACCAGAAGTCACTGCTTATGGGGAAAGCGACATAATTTATTCTGAGCTAAGGGGGAACAAACCAGAGAAATACTTTCTGGACTTATACTTACCAACAACATTTCTCATGTAAACACATGTAAACATCTACTAACTTTCCTCTGCTTGCCACACAGCACAGTCTATGACACACAAACAGAGTGGTGCACCATGAATAAACGGGAGCATAGAGAGCACCAGTTCCTATGGCAGAGCTCTAATCAGTCACTTTTCAGACAACACAGAGGACGTTACCAAGAGGACAAGGCCATACTCACTGAGCAAGAGGAGTCAGTGAAGGATGCGAAAATGAATGGACAGAGCAGAATGTGCTGTATGGCAGTGCAAGCTTCAATCCTAAGTCAGGAAGAGCATAAGATCAAGGCCAGCCTGGTCTACATAGCAAGGCTCTGTCTCAAAAATACAAGATCTGGGGATTTACTTGGGGGTGTAATGCATATCTGGCATGTGCGAGGCCCTGGGTTTGTTTCTAGGACCAAAATGTAAAAACGGGATGAGATCTGGGTATGTGTATGGCCCTAAGATACTATCTTTGAAGGAGAGAAACACAGAGGTCCCTTTAACCAAGTGAGTGAAGCTGGCATTCTGATGTGCTACATTGAGCACTGTCCAGCTAAGCCATGAGTGTGGTACAAACCTGCCACCTTGGAATGTAGGAACCTGAGGCAGGAAGACTAAGTTTGAAGCTGCCCTGATCTACACATATATAAAATAGCTCTTTTTTTTAAAAAAAAATAACATTGTGCAAAACATATAACTTAAGCAGATCTCAATTTAACACATGTACATGCAAGTCAGCCTTTATGATAGACATGTGCTGATACTTACAGGTGATACTAACCAAGAAGGACCGTATCCCAAATTCACAGATGCGCTTCCATTTGGCATGAAGTCTGGCAGTGACTCCAGGGATAATGATCTCTGCTGGAACATAGAACTGAATTGAATAGGTCACGAAAATGCCAAAGGAATACAGAATTTTCACTGACCGATACAACCTGTTGGAAAAAAAAAAAAAAAAGAAATTCAGCATTTAGTTTTCCTTAATATGAATCTGATTTTCCTCCTTTTTATCATTTAGAGGGTAAACAAGAAATACAGAATGCAAGCCAGTTTAGAGATCTCCTAATCAAAGGTATAAAAGCCAACCAAAACAGATATGGTGGGGTACAACTGTAATGCCAGCACTCAGGAAGCCACACAGGAAGACTGGCTCTGAGTTCCCAACAGTCTGGGCTACATAATAATTCCATAATAATTTCCAGACCTGACCAGTGGCTACAGACTAGGAACCTTGTCTCAAGGAAGAAAACAACAAAAACTGACCTCCACTAACTACATTTCTAGTCCTCATACAGACAACTTGCTCTGACTATCCTGGTGAGGCTGAGCATGGACTTGGGGACACAGTGCTCAAAAGACTGTGTTTAGGGCCAAGGAAGTACTCCATGCTTACACTCAGCCCCATGAAAAGATCTGCGAAGCTTTCCAAAACAATGTTTTCTTTTAACAACTTGAATATCCTTATAATTTATTTGAACTACTGAGTCACAGTCACAGTCATTTATATATGTAGAAGAAAAATGTCATAGTAGGTCCTCAATTTGAGCTCTCCTTGCTTGAAACTTTTGTTAGACAAAGGACATAAGGAGTGACATCTGAATTATTTCAACCAGCAGAGCTCTCTACGCTGCACCTGCTGCCTGTGTTAAAACCACAGTGATGAGGGAGTAGATTTGTTGCTGCTTGTTTTGTGATGCAAACTTATCCCTCTGAGGTCAGGGCTTCAGAAGCGCACATCAGTTTTCAGCTTCATATACATCTTTAGAATTCTCTAATTACTCATTTTATGTGATACACAGAGTCACATATACTAACAGGATCCAGTGTAGTCTGACATGGCAAAACAGTGCAGCCATTCCTCTGTCTTGTATTGTTGCTGAGGCCATTTCAAGTTTAATGAGAATTCGATCTCCTTGATGGAGAAGCCCATGGAAAATCACCCAACTCTATTCTAGGGACCAAGGTCAAGACGCCTCAGCTAACTCTTCTCAGCGTCTATTAAACTGCCTGCTTATACAAACCTCCCCTCCAGCTAACTGCTTGCTTATATAAAATCTCCTCCTCCAGCTGCCTGGAAGTGGGTTTTTTGTGGTTTTTGTTTTTTTGGTTTTTTTGCCTTTAAAAGCCCCTTGCTCTAAATGCTCAGGTCTACAATTGGGTTCCAAATATCTGAGTGTAGTCCCAGACAGCTACAATAAAGACTTCCAATTGGCTACAAACTGTGTCTAAGTGGTCATTTCTGGAGGACTCCCTGTAAACAGTGGTATGTCAGGTCACAAACAAAATGCGCCATAGTCTTTAGACTTCAGCCTTGGTGGTGGCTCTGCCAAAACCGAGTGTGCACTTCACTTTTTTCTCCTTTTTAATTAATTTAGTATTTTCTGTGTTTCAGCTACATGTGTGTCTATGTACTATATGAGTATCTAGTGCCTTTGGAGGCCCAAAGAGAGCATCAGATCCCCTGGAACTGGAATTACAAATGGCTGCAAGCTATCACGTGGGTCCTAGGAACTGAACATGGTCCTCTGGATGAGCAGCAAGTCCTCTGAGTGGCCGAACTAATTCTCCAGCCCTTCAGCATGCATTTCTCAGTAAATACTTTAGTAAATGCCTTTGTCTAGAGAAAGTGATGTTTTCAGTGAGGTGCCAACAAGTGTGTACTCACAAGTCAGATGGACAATAAACCGACTCCTCTGAGCTATCAATGATAAAAATTAGTATGTTGTATTTCAATACCTCAACATTTTAATTTTAAGTACTTTTTATATTTAAAATCATCAAAAGAAATATCCACTTGTGTGTTTTAAGAGACAAACTAGAAAGGAGGCTATGCGGCAGTTTGTGGCAGTGACCACCTCCTGTGTTCTTTCTCTGTGGAAATGTCAGGGTCCACAGCCTCTCCAAGAGTGTGACACACAGAGAAGAGTGTTTCTCCTTGGAACAAATCCTATTGTCCTAAAAGGATAGACAGGACTCTACTTTCAGCAAAGCGATTAATTAGGCTTAAGCTTATTTCGACATCTTAAGACCTACAGCCATGAGAAGTATAAGCAGCTCTCTAGTCTGCAACCAAGCAAGGATTCAGCAGGCTTTTGCCACAGTGCAGTCATCTTCTTCTTCTTCTTTTTTTTTTTAATTATTTTAAAGATTTTATTTATTTATTTTGTGTAGTCTCCTGCCTGTATGCCAGCAGAGGGCACCAGATCGCATTTAAGGTGGTTGTGAGCTACCACATGGTTGCTGGAAATTGAACTCAGGACCTCTGGAAGAGCAGTCAGTGCTCTTAACCACCGAGCCGTCTCTCCGGCCCACGGCACATTCATCTTAAGAGTGAATAGAAGAAATAGGACAAAGTAAACGTAGATTTGAAAATATGGCAAATAACATAATTGGGTACAAGGAAAATCCTCATGGCTAGAAATAGTAAATCTTAATTAAAAAATTACGCAAGGACAGATTTAGCTAGGGCCTTAAAATTTAACTATAAATGGTTGTGGTTGAAAATATGCAAAATTTCCAAATGACTATTTTTTTCACATGTTCTGATAAGCTGTAGAGAATTAAATATTAGTTCATTATTCTCTTAAAAGAGAAGCATTGTTTTTTCTAATTACTGCTGTTTCAAAACATAGCTGATAATATACTTTAAAATGAAAGCACTATTTTCCATATAAATATAATTATATTCCACCGACATAAAGCTGGAGTTACACAGGCTAACATGTGGTTAGTGTTAATATCATTCCACATATAGTACTATTATTTGGTGTTACAAGGACCATTGTTCTAATTTTTTTCTTCACAAATGCATGCTGGAGAAGTAAGCATTGCACAGACCAGTTTTGCAACGCTGGAAGAATAATATAAATGACAGTGTGTTCAAACACACCCTATAAAAGCACCTATTTATTTCACTTTTACCTATTCTGTGTCAAAACCCATTTATTTCTATGGTTGGCATCTACACTTCCAGTAACACTTAAACGGTTTTCCTCAACATTTCAACCTGTGCTCTCACTTGGGTTTGAAGTATCCACAGAGCTATGCACTCTTGAGTTGCACATAGCAGACTTGAGGGCCATTCTGCACTCTCACTTTTCAGAACACAGTAACCTTTGAAAGGACAGCACCACCCTGTTTCTCTCAGTCAGGAGACTACTAACTCTGATTACCTCATCAGGTCTGCAACACACGGACAGCAAAGCAGAGGACAGACTGCACCCATCTGCCCTGTGAAGAGGTTCTGACAGACTAAAGGAAATCTCTCTCTACCCTGACTTGCTCTCCTGCTTTTCAAGATGTCTACTTGTTCTCAGGGAAATATTTGGAGGCTTTTTTCCAACTGAAAATCAGATGACTTGCTAGCTTTCTTGAGTCTAAACTATGACTGAACAGTAATAAGTTTGGACAGTCAAATTGGTCATAAGTCCCAATTTGCTCTGTCCTAATTGGAGAACCACAGCAAGCAGGCATCAGGGATGACCTGGTACTGTAGGGAAGGAAAGGGCTACTTCAAGGACAGGTCACACACCCAAGCTTGAACTGGCAAGCATATATATGTGCCTTCGCAGAGTCCTGCCCCATCCTTCTCTGTGTCTTAGCTGGGAACAGGGGCATCTATCTGTCTGCATGCTTGCTCTTCAGTTCTTTTTCCAGTAAGACATTCCTTAAATACTTCTGTGAATAAAGACTGTTACTGTCATGTTTCATATTTGAAATTTTAAAAGCCTGTCAAATGTATTTCCAGTTCCACAAATAATGAAATCATGAAAAAGTTTAAATGCTCAAATCATAAATCTAAAAATATATCTTCCCCATAAACTTTGACGGGTAAGTCATCTCCACCTACCACATGTCCTGGGGAAGATTCAGTGTAATGCTGCCCTTGATTTCATCACGGAAACACATGTAGCCTAAAGTGGCCAAGCTGACGTACAGTACCGTGACAACTGCCATGCCAATGTTCAATGCCTGAGGAAATCGTTTAGACTCCTTCATTTGGTTTTCCAGTGGGAGCACCTAAAAGGAGAATGTAACTATTTTTAAAGGAACAGGATACAGGAATTTCAGAATAACCAAGGTAATTATATAAAAAAGTTAGTCCTTTGTAGTCTTGTGTACAAAATCTTTTCTTCATTTCACATATTAAGTGTTATTTTCCTAAATGATGTGCACACTATGTATGTATGCTTGTGTCTCACTATGTAGCTTTAGCTAGCCTGGAACTATATAGACCAGCCTGGCCTCTGCCTCCTACATTTTGGGACTAAATGTGTGCGCCACTATGATGGGGAAAATCCTTCTGTGTATGTTTGACTTATTGGTTGATAAATACAGAACTGTTGGCCAATAGGGAAGCAAGATAAGTGGGGCTAGGAGTCAAAGAGGATTCTGGGAAATGTAGTAAAGAGGAGAGTTACCATGTGATCCTGGCAAGAGAGGACGCATGCCACTGGCATGCTAGATAAGATAATTTTTTTTTTTTTTTTTTTTTTTTTTTTTTTTTTTTTTGGGCCAGGGTTTTTTTTTTTATTTTTTGGGTGTTTTCTGGGTCCTCCGCCTCGAACTCACGAAGATCCGCCTGCCTCTGCCTCCCGAGGACTGGGATTAAAGGCGTGCGCCACCAACGCCTGGCTTAGATAAGATAATCTTTATAAAATATATAGATTAATGGTTATGGTTGATACTTAAGACAGAGATAGCAAATAAGAAATCCTAGTCATTGGCCAGCAGCATTGTACCTAATATAAATAAGTCTGTGCATGTTACTTGGGGGCCCTAACGTGGCGGCAGAACTCAGGCTGCTGGCAGAAAGAGTCATCTTTACACCACCACACCAAGCTTCTACCTGGCTTTTTGAGACAGGATCTCACTGAACCTGGAGCTTCCTGGTTGAGCTAAACTGCCCACCTCTGAGCAACAGGGATCTACCTGTCTCCATGTCCCAGCACTGGGATTATACCTGCATTCAGCATTGGATATGGGTGATGGGCTCATCCTTAAACAGCAGGCAATAAACAACACACCCACCTCCTCAGCCCCTGTGCTCTAGAGATGCTTATATCATATTATGTTTTAATTCCTAAACAGATTTGAAGATCAGCTCTCAGCAGGCAACCTGCTGGTTATTTTTATACACCTTTTCTGGTTAGAATAATTTTAGATTTGTTTTTAAATGCTGAGGAGACCACAGATGGCTCCCATGTGCCTGTGGAGCAGCTCTCCCATGATTAACACTTTTAGATTACCAGTTGTCACAACTGATCCAACACTGGCTGAACCCCGAATTCCATTTCAATTTCTCTAGTGTTTCCATGAATGACCTTCTTCTGTAACAGGAGCCCATCCAGGACACTGCACTGCATTTGCCACTCTGCTCCTCGGCCTCCTGCGGGCTAGCTGGCTTCTGTCTTTCTTTGCTCACTGTCCCAACTTGCTGAACTCCTTTGTACAACATCCCTCTAATATGGATTTGTCCTAATGCCTTCCTGGTGACTACATAGGGGCCATGGCTTCTAGAAAAGGCCACCACACCCTGGTGTGTGTCAGTCCAGTCACACCCACCCACCTCATCGCCCTACCCATTCTCCAAGAACTAAGCGGGAATTATCTACACCTGCTGGAGGAATGAGGCTCTCCTAGGAATTCTGCCTCATAGTCATTAGTGCAATTATTTGTGTCACTGTGGACTTCTGGAGATCTGTTATGCACACTGAGTTCCAACCCAACATTGGGTCATACATTCTGTCACTCATCCTGCTCCAGCCTTTGTCACTGTGATACTACCAGGCATGTGTGCATTCCTGGTGCTGACTGCCTTATTGTCCCTCTGAGCACTCCTTTCCTCTCTGGCCTATACAAAGCCCAACACTCATGTTGAATTCCATGGTTTCAGTCATCATCATACATTTTTCTCCACAGAACATGGTTCCTTTCTTGGAGCATGGCATTTAGAATTAAGATCTCTGTGCTGAGTGTGCTATGTGAGGAGTGTTCCTTCTGACCTCTCAGGAGACACAGCAAGTTACAGCTCACATGCATATGAACGCACATACACACATCTGAAACTGATCTACAGTGTGTGGCAGGGGAGCAGGAAGGGGACTACAAAAAGACAAAGAGATCTTGGGAAGGGATGAGCCATGGGAATGAAATGTGTGACATGATGGCAGAAGGAGGGACTATGTGGTATAAGGAAGGGACCAGCCAAAAGAAGGGGAGGACGGTATGAGGCAAATAAGAACCAATTATATGGTATGTATGTACAGAAATGCCATAGGAAATTTTGATTTATGTCCTAACTAAAGCAAATTTTTAAACATTAAAATTAAAAAGGGAAGAGAAAGTGGGAGAGTGAGGCTGATTTTGAATGAGAAACTGATTTTGTCAGTGAATCAACCCTTAACTAAATATCCAATAATTAAGATTCTAAACTAATAAAAGACAGACATTAAAATCCACATCTACAGCTGCTCTGCAGTAAGGGGAGCTGTGAGAATTTCTAAGACTATAAGATTTCAGACAGCAGACAGCCAAGGGGAATGGGGTGGGGTGGGGTGAGACATCCATTTGCATTCACAGGAAGAGACATCTAAAGTGCTTTTGTCTGGTATCAAACCATCAGACCTTGAAGGCAGTAGACATTAATATTCTAATTTCCCTAAATCTACAAATTATAGGCCACAAATACTGAAAGTGTTTTAAGTAAAAATACTTAAGATGTTAGAGGCCTCAGGATGTATCTCTTGGCACTGGCATCTCAATAATGTTGTACATCAAAAACAAATAGGATATACCCAACCTAAAGGGAGAATTTTCTTTGCTTTTCACTCGACAGTAACTTTATAATTATTTCCATAACCTTCAAATATTCAAGGCTATATGTAACATGTGATGTTTGGGCTGTCAGGTTGACATGCAAGCCTGACAGCTTGAGTCTAGCCACTAGAACCCAGAAAAGGCTGGATATGCTAGCTCACATCTACAATCGCATCTACCACTCCTGTGGTAGATGGGAGGGGGAGACAGACAACTACCTAGGAGCTCTCTGGCCTACTACCCTGGAGAACCTCAGCGCAGCAGAGACAGGAAAGATCTTGCTCCCATAATGTAAAAAGAGAGAACCAACTCCCGAGAGTTGTGCTCTGGACCCCTGACCCACACCAATACATGCACCTTTTTAAAATGTGTGATGGGTGGGGGTAGGGGATAGAGAGACTGCCTGGTAACCACTGGCTGCTCTTCCAGAGGACCTAGCTTTGATTCCCAGAACCCATTTGGTGGCTCACAACCATGTATAACTCCAGTTCCAAGGCCTCAACACCCTCTTCTGGCCTCCACAGGAACCAGACATGCACGTGGTACACAGACATGCTTGCAGGCAAAACAACCCAGATACAACACAGAACCTTAAAAAAAAAATAAAAATAAAATTTAAAAAAAAGCTCTAATTGGTCTATTTGGCCATGCTTGAATACATGAGACACAAACAAAACAAAATTGTCTGTGAGTTCTATTTTCTGCAGTTATATGACACAAGTGTTTTCAGTATAATACCTTAAGGCTTTTATAGGCTTGAAATTTTTCCCAATAAAATGCCAAAAACCTAGTCTAAAACTGTCATTTAACCTACCAAGGAAGACTTAGAGAACCTACAAAACATGTCTAAGTTTCTGATCAGTAGAAAAAACAAACATTAGTTCAAGTCTACCCCACCCCACCGTTAGGTCTCAAATCTAGAACAACTCTCATTCAGTTGACCTATGGCTCCTCCCAGCACTCCTTACCCCACCCCTACCTAAAACCTCCCCTCTCCCAGCCTGATTCCTGTACAACTCAGTCATTTTGGCTATGCTGTTCTCTTGGCCTCTTGGCTTGGGCCTGGGCCTGGGTCTGGGCCCCTGGCTCCTCCCTTGCTCCCCCTCCCCTTCTCTCTTCTCATTGTCCAGTCAGCCAGTCATGTTCAGCCTGGACTCTTCCCTCTCCCTGCTTTCTCCCTTATATCTACAATAAAAACCTCCATACTTTAGAGCTTTTCATGACAACCCCCCCCAGAAAAAAACATGTATTTTTTATACAGTTTGACCACAAAAATTCTTGTGTTGAGAGTCTGGAAAACAAGAAATGGCTAATTCTTACCACTCCTATGCCTTCAAAAGCAAACACAGCAGTACCAAAAAACAGTGGGTATTTCTTCCAACCGGCCACAATTGGAAGGTTGTAGGGATCTGGCATGTTCTGCAGAAAAGAGAAAAAAAGAAAAAATAAACCAAGTTACAGCTTTATCTAATGCAAACTATTTAAAATTAAAGAGCAAAATCACATCCTCCCAAGCTTCACAGAGCAGCTGCGGTTATGAAATCCAGCAAACATTTTACACACCCTGTATATGGAGGCTATGTTGTTAGGATACAGTCACTGAAACAAATGCTTCTGTCACGTTCACACACTCCCCGAGTCCCTGTGTCCACTGGCCAGTCCTAGGCAGCACCTGGCCAGTCCTAGGCAGCACCTGGGGTACATCTTCTAACATATGAGAAGTACACAGGCATACTCAGAAACCAGAGCCCAACAGTCACCAGGCACTGCTGTGGTCTCCACGCATTCCCATTCCTCAGTTCCCTACGACACCTTGCTCCCAACCAAAGCCCTAGCTGTACAGGGCTCCTTCTGGTTTCAGTGTGTGCTCTGACAGGCCACACACAACCTGCTCCTCATTGTGGATGACCCCACTGTTCTTTAACTGGCACCAACTCACAGCAATGCTTCCCACTCTGTAGGACACCTGGCTTGACACTATGACCACAATGACCTTCCTTCCAGACACCCCAAATTTGGTCGTCCCCCACTTCACAATCTTCTCCTCTGCCTTACCTGCTGAATCAGAATTCAAGGCCAAGAAAGGAGGCTGTGCATACCAAAGTGAGAAGGCATGTGGGAAGTCTGGGGGATGTGGGGGCCGGTAATGGTGAGGCACATGCAGCATTAAGTGATAGGAAGAAGCTGTGTGATAGGAAGAAGCTGTGTGACAGGGGAAGCGAGAATCAGAAGGGGCAGGGTCCAAAGGGTCTTGATCATCTGCTACTGCTAAACTGTCCCCTCCTTGTGCACGTCCCTCTCCTGAAGGATCCCCTTTTTCTGCTCTACCAACTCTAACATGTCAGCTGAGGGACTGTGAACGTCAGAAAGGCTCGGGCAACCTTCTTTCCTACCAGTTTAAGAATCCAGAGGGAGGAAAAGTGAAACGGACCAATATATGAGTTTGTGTGAATCATGGAAATCTTATGATTATCTTGGAAGTTATATTTTTGATAAATTAGATCATGAGGAAATAAAATAGGATCCTCGACTATCCTGGGGTCACTGGCCTCTGCGTAAGGTAATTGGGCTGAGTCCCGAGACTTCAAACAGTGACCTCAGTTCCAATTACCGCATGGTCTTCAAACAAAGGAGTCATGAACTTGTGCCATGGCAGTGGATGGCATGTGGTAGCAAGCAAAATACTTAGAGAATTATACACATACCCATCCTTGTGACTAGCTCAAGCTCAAAGGCATAAACACAGTAACTCAATGAGCTGAATCATGGGAGCCTCTGTAGTAGGAACACAGTTCTAAGTCTCACAAGAGCTCTAACAGGGAAGGTGAGATGTTTGGGAACACTGATTCAAACCCATAGGCATCCTCATGAACAATCAAACCAGACACAACCGTTTAGCATCTATGTCATGCATTAACATTATCCCCTGAGGGGAAATCAACATCAGCTTCCTGTCTGTGTGTCCTGTGTGCGGAACAGGCCTCTCTATGTCACGACTGTCACTTCCAAAGAAAGTTTTACATACATAGGAACACAGGATGGTTACTCAAAAGCACACTTACCCTAACGACGTACTGGTAAATTATCACGAGACTGGCAGCCATGGAAATGTTGGCAAGGAACGAAAGTATGAAGAGATTCTTCAGCTCACGAATGAAGACCAAGAGAATTATGAACGGGAGAAAGCAGAGCATATACACCCTGAGGTCCACACTCCTCCTCTCACATGCATGAGATGGATCAGTGCTGTTTGAAACAAACACTGTGCTCTCCAGGAATCCTTCGTGAACCTGCAGTACAGTAAGGCACCAGGGGAAGAAGAAGGAAATTATCCACCAGCTTACAGTCATAGGAGAGACAAATAAAACATAACTCACACCCTTTAGGATCAAGACCATTGGCAGTAGTGACCAGTAGGGTAATCTCACGGTGTCTTGTGTATGATAGTGGTGACCAGTAAGGTGGTCCCACAGTGTCTAACTGTGATCATGGAGACCAGTGAGGGCATCTGACCAGTGAGGTCATCCCACAGTGTCTAACAGTGACAGTGGTGACCAGTAAGGTTTAGCCAGTATCTGCAGTAATGTGCACTGCCTACAAATGGAAGGAAAACTTCTGCCAAGCGTGGTATTTCCAATCGCACACATTGTGACTGCTGCCTGCGTGCCCATGTGTGTGTTCCTTGCTGCCTCGGGCTGTTTTCTAAAGTCTGACTGCAAGTATTTCTCTGTGTTTCCCTTTATGCTTCTGAAAGACTCATCATTCTAGCTCTAAAAGACAATTTCTCTTTTCAACCAGCCAGGGGGCCACTTGTTCTACCTCATCGTCTCATGTCTTAAATATCCCATTAAACTCTGCAACAGACAATGTTTCATAAAAGAAAGTCATTAAAAAGCCTTTACATGCCCCCCCCCCTCCCTCTCTCCTTCTCTCTCTCTATCGTTCTCTCCCCAGCCCTCTCCTTCTCTCTTCCACTAATAAAATCATTACCAAAGATGGCTAACCAGGTGTGACAGCACATAACTAGAAACCCAACACTTAGAAAATGAGACACCAAGATTCTGAGTTTAAGACCATACTCAACTAACAAACAACATACTAAGGTAGCAGCTGTGACCAGGGGCTCTATTTCAGGAAAATGCCTAGTAAGATCAGGGGAGATCAATCGTGTTCACAGGACTTCACAGTAGTTACTCCAGTTGTAAAAGTTAATGCTGTGTTACAGTTTATAAACATAAAACCACAGGACATTGGTCCTAGATTCACACAGGGCTGTTGGAAACTCTCTTGGGAGAACTAGAGGTGACCCAGCAGTGACGAGTTATGGTGGCACACATCTGTGTTCCCAGCACTTGGGAGGTAAATGCAGGAGGGTCAGAAGGTCCAAGGCCAGCCTGAGCTACACAGAAAGTTCAACATGAGCCTGAATTAGATGAGACCATCTCAAAAAAGCAAGTAAAAAATGGTGGGAATGGAATAACAGCTCCATCACTGCCATCCTGCATGATCCAGGACAGACTCTGATGCCGTCATGGCCCATGTGAATGACTGCAAGGAGGCATGTTTTCAGAACCTTTTTAAACAACAGCAGCAATTATCGGAGCTTAGGAACGGACACTCGCCTTTTTACTGCATGCTTTCAGCTGCTGCCCACCATCTCCTATCTCCTTGAAAGACCATCAACAACATGAAGAGCGTGACTGTGGATCTGTGTGCATACTTTTGAGATCTGAACATGAAGTAATCAAGAAAGAGCAAGCCACGCCACATTCTTGTCCAAAAAAATAAATAAATAAATAAATAAATAAATAAATAAATAAATAAATCCAAGCATGGCTGATATAAAATCAGGCATAGTAACACTAACATCAATTAACATCAGAAACCCAACTTGTAAAAGAGACACCTAAGAAGAATCTATAAAAATGACTGTGAGCGAAACACATCTTTATCTTCAACCATGGCTTCCACAAAAGCCAAGGCTTCTGAAGAAAAAGTCTTGCTGACTGCAGAAACATACTCACTTGTTTCACATTTTCAGCTAAGAAGACGATATAGACGCTACAGAATCCCAGCTGTGTTATCACCAGAAAGAAGTCAACCACGCTCCTGAAAACACAGTCCCGAAAAGAAGTAAGTGTCACAGGGAGTTCTAAACAAGCAGCAGACCTCATTTCTCATTTAACTATTTTAAAGTATTTTATAATGGCATTTATTCTTTTACTTCCTAAGACAATGGCCACTTAAATATTTATTCTCATGAAGATAGTGTCAGTCAGTAAGGCACTAGACTGTGATAGTAAAAAGCACACTTCCCTCAGTTAAAAGACAAAGATTTTACATCACTTCCTACTTCCACAATTCAGTTGTGTAAGAACAGCTGCTTGTGAAACAATTTCACAGAACTATGTTCAAGATTAGGGTGTGACTCATACCTTTAACCTAGGTAACCAGGGACCTTCATTCAAGACTCAGCCCTGGAGAAAAATTCATGTTCTAGACTACATCCTTCCCCACTACCTCTCAAGATCTTCCTCAGGCCAAGCCAGTGTATTTCCTTCCTGCTGGCCTCCTGCCATTTGCACACATGGGAAGTACACTTGCTACTTCCTAAACCATAAGAATGCAGAATGCAAGGGAACTGGAAGCATGAGTCAGACCTCTAGAGACATCTTTGGTAAATTTTCTCTATTCTTATTTTATAATGAGATGCTCTAGAAACTTCCAAAACACAAAACAATTATGTAGAAGGAGGGAGCAACTATTGCCAGATATCTATGTGACATCATTGGGATATGGCAGGCCCCAGGTACAACATCCTGCACACTGGACTTGGAGCAAGGAGGGAGCGCATAGTCAGACTGACTGATGATGACGTGGTGACTCCTGTCAACTGCCATCAAGATCATAAAACAGCAAACAGATAGAGACTAGAACCTGAGTCTATCCAACTGTGAAACCCCGTTACCACGTTTCCCCAACCCTGTCATACTTTGAGTTATGTCCTGTTCAATGAAAATAGTTAAAATCAGTGTGACTTCAGCACATAGACATTAGAAGCAAGGCCAGTGCTTACCGCCCCCACGCTGCCTGCCGCTGAAGGCAACTCCATGGGCTGGCCTCCATGGCAAAACTCACAGTGTCACTGTACCCCAATGTTGACTTCTTAAACCTGCAATTTATAGGCATGCACACAGAGAAAAGTATTAAATTGGTCTATAAGGCCATTCCATGAAAATAGCACCAAATAAAAATAGAGATTTGTGAACTCAGGATATACATTAGCAGATTTGTTTTCAAAGTGCAAATAAATATTTGTGTACCCATGAGTGTGAGTCAAGAAATTTCAAAATATCATTTGCCCTGCTACAGGCATACAAAGTTTAACTGCTGCTGCAGTTTTCTATCTGTAGAATTCGGAAAACTTTTTATTGGTGCTCCATTGATTTAAATGTTTCAAGCACCTCGAAACAGCAACTGTACTGTTCAGCTGAGGATCACTCCATCCTGTGACAGCACTGTGTAACAGCGTGCAGGCGCTGCATTATAGTTCCCTGTGAACTGTCCCATTTAATCTTCAGAACACCTCCATGAAGTCAGTGTCACTTCTCCATTCTCTATTCTACTTTCTTCTCCAGAGTATGCATCATTATCCAAACAACAAACATGATATAAACACTTTCGAGAACATTAATGAAAAGAGTTAGGAGGCAACCACTGGTTTGCTATAACATGAAGCATTTTTAAAAGCAGTTTATCATCCAGTAGAGGATTTCATGTTATAGAACTAAAAGGGGGGTTCTATTTTTCTAAGTCTGTCAGCTCACTTATCAATAACCGTCACTAAAGGCACTCTGCCCCAGACTGAATCACCAACTAGCTGAAGACCTGGAGCTGTCACTTCAAGTGCATAGCTACTTGGCTTCCTCTTCTACTAAATGAAAGAGCCCACCCCATCTCCCCAATAGAACACCTTTTGAATGTGTGTAATCACAGGCCAGCAAGATGACTCAGCAGCTAAAGTAACTGCCACAAAAGCCCGACGACCTGAGTTCAACCTGAGAAGACCCATAAAGTGGAGGAAAGTACTGACTCCACAAAGTTGTCCTCTCCCCTCACATGTGCACTGTGTCATACATGTGCCTACATACATGTCATGTACACATCGACAATATTCAACATTTAAAAAAAGTACAGTCATCACTCCATACCCACAAATTCCTCGTGTATGGGTTAACCTACTGCATATGAAGATTCATGAAAAAAAAAATGTCTGTGTTGATTACATACACAACTTTATTTTTCTTGTCATTATTAGGTGAACAGCATAGAATAATAACATGCATAGCATTTATACTGTACTGAAGATGATTATAACATGTGGAAGGATGTGCAAAGATTACATCATTTTATGTGAGGGACTTGAGCACTTGTATGTATCCATGGGGACCCTGGAACCAGTCTTCTGAGAACGCTAAGGGATGACTGTGAACAGATACTGACCACATTAACTACAGAAAACACTAGCCTGTCCCATGGTCATCATCTTAGGGGTGTCAGGCACTGGAAGGGAACACAACCTCTAGATGCAAGGCACAATAAATACATGAGACAATGAGGCTCTAAGCAAGTATGAAACTTTACAATGAATCAAATAGACTTAATGAGTCCACATTTACCTCTGACATAGAAAGTGACTGCAACGTACCAATATGTGCATACAGTGGACGGAAATAATTCCTATAAACACAAGGCTGATTGGTCCAAGCTATGGAGAAGAAAATAAGGAAGATTTAAATATTCATTTTTAAAAACTGAGTGAGCTGATAAGCAATAAGTCAATGGACAATTCATTTACAGTGAAAAAAATTGTTGAATCCATTCATTAAATTATCACAGGCATGAAGAAAATTAATAATTTTGACACAGAAATTATTTCAGGTGGTATTTTGACAATGATGCTATCTTGCCAACTTGGCAACTGAAACCTGTGTTACAGAGTACAGACACGAAGTACAGAATATGGAATACAATGTCACATCCAGCACAGGAGGACAAATCTATGGCATCAGTGTCCCACTGGTGTAGTACACACGTAAATACCCTTGTCTAGACAAAAAATATCTTTAAACTTCTACACATTGCTCTTAGAGAATACACACCTGTGTCAGGGACAGCAATTAGGAAATAATTGTTTTTAAAAGTGGTTCATGAAAAGTTTCAACTGTGTACTTGCCAGACTCAAAGTCATGTCTGGATTATGATGGGTAGCAGAACCAGACAAAGCTTAACTGAGCAATAAAAAAAAAATCCATTTAATTACACACAGGACTGTTAAACCCAGAAAAATGGATAGCTACAACCTCCATGGAGACCAATCCATTTAAAAACATTTATGTCTAATTTACTTCATCCATGAACCTGTCTCAGCAAGATTCTCAAACGCAGCAATTAGAGTAACTGCCTCTAACACTGTTTTGATATTTATGTTTAAAAGACATCATTACTCATTTCAACTATTTTTCTTAGATATGAATACTGCATACATACTTATCCTGACTCTTAAAATACTAAGGAAGTTACACCATAAAAATAATCCATTCCCTTAATACATTAGTTGCTGTGGTACACTGCTTAAGACTCTGACAACCCCCCAAAATGAGTCACACCCATCTTCAGAAATCAAGAACTGGGTTAGGTTTGAGAGTCTGTTGTTGTTAAATATTACACATAAGTAATCATATAGAAATTTAAACAGTGACTCTCACTCTGGGTTAGGTGCCATGATTATAGTTCACATTAATGTATCAGGACAGCAGCCAATGGCCACCTACATATCACCTGACCAGGTTATACTGGCTGAGGCAAGATGGTGCCTTTAAGTCATTTTTACTGACAACTAACTATCTGGAGTGGAGGGCACAGACAGCCTTACCACAATGCCAGCATTCTTTATTGCCAAGGGGAGCCCTAAGAGGCCAGTTCCGATGTTCCCCTTTAGAAGATGCATCAGGGTCTGCACAAATCTGAAAAGTGAAAACCATAAGGTTTAAGCATTCAACCTAGGGACCTCGGCGGCAAAGTAAATAATGGTTCCCATCCCACCAACAGGCAAGAAGTCAACCCAGAATCGAATGCCATCTTCACTCAAAAAATACAAGTACAGAGAATTATTGTAGAAATTAAAAGAAATATTTAGTCAGTGTTGGGCATATAGAACAATAATTTAAAATTGGTTTTCTCATAAGATACTTTGCTGCTATGATGTCAAGAACATTGAGGATCTGACTGCTAAACCAGAAGGACTGTTGGCACTGTTGAGATAATTATGGTTCTAAATATTCGATCTATGAATATTCAGGTAAATAACAACTTCTATTATCATGAGCTCCCTCATAAGCTTCCATGACTTGCAAGTATCTAGGAGGTGACTGGAGGAGTTCTCCTTGACCAAGAAGAAACAAACTGAAATTAAGAGAAGCATAAACTTCAAACTCATGAAACAAAAGATAGCTGCCTAGAGTTACTCAGTTTTTTTAGTTTGACCCAATCAAATTTCATATGACTGTGCTTAATCACTAAATTACTCTTAATGCAAGAATTCAATGATGAGGAGACACCAAAACAGGTTTTTGTAACACATTCTGCCAGTATCTTGTCTCCTCATTCTGCACGAGCCATTCCCCACACCCACCAGCTCCTTCCCTCAGAGAAGCCATTCTTCTAATATGCTTAACACTCTGTCTTCTCACTGACATCTTTCTCTGGGGGGGCACTGGATTTGATATCTATCACTACTGAAGAAATCCCCATGCTGTTCAGTATCCTAATACCTTTCTCTCACAGACTACAAACATCCAGGAATCCTAATCTTCTTAATTATCTCTGTGTCACCTGTAAAACACTCAGATCTGCAGGAGACTAAGAAACACACTCAGAGCCGAGGACCCCATGACCCATGACACTCACGAAATCCCATGCTGCCCATCGAGCTGGTAGTGCTTCTGCACAGGTAGGAGTGTCTGTTCCGGCTCCTCATCCGAAGTCCCATCAAAATTCTGCTCATTTATTAAGGGTCTCATCACGTCCATATCTACAAAATGGGAACAGTCCTGTAACACTGCTTGTAAAATTGAGGTAAGGCTATAACTGGTGAATTTTTAAATAATAGGAAGTATCAGGCTACAGAGACGAGATGACTCACTGGATAAAACAATTGACCCACATGTTTCAGGACCTGAGTTCTCATCCCTGGCACTCACAAAGAAGCCAGGTGGCCATGGCAGCTGCTTGTAAAATCTGCACTAGGGAGAGATAGACAACAAGCTGAATGGCTAACCAGACTAGCAAGATACCATAAACTCTGAATTCAGTGAAAGATCCTGTCTCAATAAAGTGGAGCAACCTAGGAAGATACACAGGTCAACTTCAGGCCTACACACAACACACACACACAAGCATTCCTACACTCTGCACGCTACACACACACACACACACACACACAGGTGCATGGGCACCTACACAGTGCAAGCATAAATACACTGTACACACACACATGCATGTGCACACCCATACATGTAAGTATTCCAACACTCTGCACACCTACACACCTACACACACACACACACACACACACACACACACACACAGAAATGCCATCTGTATTCACTGAAGCAGAGTAGTTCACCTTAGCCCCTTAGTCTTGATATTGTCACAAAAGAAAAACCAGACTTACTTTCTGATGTTCTATTGGATTATGTACAGTGTAGAAGAAAAAGCTTAAGTAATGTAGAAAACAGTTTTTGTTTTATCCACATCAAGTTTACAGGATGAGAAATGTGAAGAAATAATCAAATATATTTTCCATATCTGGTCACCTTCAAATCCCACTGTAATAGGTAAACAATCATGTTTTTAAACACTTAAAATTACAATCATTACAATGCTAAAAATTTTAGTATCAAAATATTTTCTTCTAACAATTTCATGTGACTATTCCTCACTGTCCTCTTATTTCAATGGCAATCACAAAATCTGAGTTAATTAAGAATAAAATACAAAGCTGGGCGGTGGTAACGCACACCTTTAATCCCAGTACTCAGGAGACAGAAGCAGGTGCATCTCTGTGAGTTCAAAGCCAGTTTAGTCTACAAAGTGAGTTCCAAGACATCCAGGGCTGTTACACAGAGAAACCCTGTCTTGAAAAACAGTAACAACAAACCCTGTCTCAAAAAACAAACAAAAAACCTGAAGTAGAGAGATTTTAAAGGTAAAATCAACCAGTAAGCTGACATACCAGGGAATGGTGTAACTATAGCTAGAAATGATCAACCTTGCTCTTCAAACTCTTCATTTTAGAGTAATTTCAGGTTTAAATTTGCAACAACAACAAAAACAGTACTAATACTTGTGCATTCTTTGCAGACTTTTCTGACTTTCACCATTTGCTGCAGTTGCTTTTTCCCTCTAAAATGCAGACTTGATTCCATGATGTGATCTCAGTTCACCCTATGGTAACATCCTTCCTAAGAACAAGAAAGGTCTCCAAATTCCGTATTAGAGATCTCACTTCCCCAGCTGCACCAATTAACTCCTCTGAGCTGTTTCAGGACAGGAGGTCCAGGGTATGGCTGCAGATTCTATTCTCCTGGACTGTTCTGCTGGTCACCTCTGTCACTGTGTCTTTTAGGGTGTCCTTTGTTCTCCTCTTCTGAACTTTTTACTACCTAGAGGTTTTAAGATTTTTAAATCGTGTGTATGTACATCTGTAGGTGGTCTGTGCAAGAGTTAGTGCAGTGCCTCTGTGGCTAGCAGGACACATCGGATCTCCTGGACCAGGGACTGCAGGTGACTGCTAGCCACCTGTGTGGGTACTAGGAACTAAACTCAGGTCCTCTGCAAGAGCAGTGTGCATTAACAGCTGAGTCATCTTTCCAGCCTGCCTTGACAGTTTTGAATGTTATACAATTTCTACCTACTACTTGTAAGCTCTAGTTGAGATATGAAATGTCACTGGCTCATGTGTTTGAACACTTGGTCCCCAGTAGGTACTGCTCTTTAGGGAGGCTGTGGACCTTCAGAAGTAGAGCCTAGCTAGAAGTGAGTCTCTAGGCAGGGCAGGTTCTTGGGGTTCACAGCTCAGCCTGCTTTCTGTCCTGTCTCTACTTCCTGGAACACTAAGAAGTGAGCAAGCAGCTCATGCATGCTCCCACCAGGATAGAGCCACTTGAAGCCATGCCCTGTTTGCCATCATGTTCTCCCAGCCATGATGGTCTGTTGTCCCTTCTCCCATTGACATCTCATGTTCTCTGTTTTCAACTGTGTTATTTTCTGTAAATGTTCTTCCCATTATGTCTTCATCTGCACCTTAGATTTAGACCTACAGTCAACACAGCAGTCACTACAGCTCTGACAGTTTCCTCAGTCATCCAGAAGCTTATACCAACTAGAATGTCTCAGAAAGACCTTGTAGGGCTTGCTAACAAATTGGCATGCTCCACCCCAAGATTAAGAAGAGAGTAAGGCCTTGAGACCCGGATGTGCTGGGGGCTCTCTCGCTCTGAGAACACAGTCCTAGCAGATTATTCAGGAAAAACTCACTGATACATTATTCTCCGAGGATTCATTCTTTATTCAAAATTTAGTATACAAAGTACTGGGTTTCATGATATTTTCATACATGCTTTGTTTTGGTTGATCTTCCCCCATTATGTTCCCCTACTTTCCTCCCAGACTCCACCTTCCTCAGAGCCTCTCTTCTTCTTCCATGCCACCCTCTTTCATCCCCTCCCCAACCCTTCCTCAAGACCTCATCTCCCCTCTCATGGTGCCCTTTCTAAAGTTTCATGGCCTCTACTATCACCAAAATACTTACACATATATGAAAATTAAGATTTAAGATCCACTTATGGGGCAAAAGCATACGCTCTCTTTGAGTCTCTTTCACATAAGTTCCAATTTCACATTTTTCTACAATTTGTCATGACTGTATCTTTCTTAAAGCTGCATAAAATTCCAGTGTGTGTGTGTGTGTGTGTGTGTGTGTGTGTGTGTGTGGTGTGTGTGTGTGTGTGTGGTGTGTGTGTGTGTGTGTGGTGTGTGTGTGTGTGTGTGGTGTGTGTGTGTGTGTGTGGTGTGTGTGTGTGTGTGTGGTGTGTGTGTGTGTGTGTGGTGTGTGTGTGTGTGTGTGGTGTGTGTGTGTGTGTGTGGTGTGTGTGTGTGTGTGTGGTGTGTGTGTGTGTGTGTGGTGTGTGTGTGTGTGTGTGGTGTGTGTGTGTGTGTGTGTGTGTGTGTGTGCGCACGCGCGCATGCACGTGCATGTATGCATGTGTGCCTGTGTTTATCCATTTATCTATTGATGGACATCAGTGCTGGCTCCATTTCCTAGCTATTGTGAATACAGTATCAATGAACATGGTATCTCCACCAAAGGATTATCAAGTCTTTCAGGACTCTACAGAGGAATAGCATAGCAGAGCCATGTGGCCATTCTATTTTTGTTTTTGTGTGTTTGTTTTAGGAAAATCTGTGGTATTTCCACAACAGCTGCACCAATTCACATTTCCACCAGCAGCAGGGTGCTCGTTTCCCATGTCCTCATCAGTGCTTGCTGTCTCTGCTGTCTCTGCACTTGTCTAATGCTTCCCATGACCCAGCTATCTAAAGGGCTGGGTATAAAAACCCCAGTTCATGCTTGGTTTGCCTTTCTATAGCTTCTTCTGAGTATTACAATAGCAGACTCATCTTTTCAGTTGTTAAGGGATTTGTTCTTTGTCCTAGAAAGTCTAATGACCTACCTGTATCTTTTTTTCTTTTTTCATGCCTTATTGATTCTTTATTTTACATCATGCACCCCAATCCCACTCGTTTCCTTTCATATCCACCCTCTGCCTCTGCAACCTCCCCTGAAAAAAATTAAAAACCAAGAATATTTTTTTTTCTTATATCTCATCATAGAAGCTGTAGTATGTCACCATTAGTCACACAGTATACCCTGTAGTCTACACATCTTTACTTGCAAATCTTCATTGCAATGAGTCATTGGTCTGGTTTGAGGCCTCTGGCTCCTGCTACACTGTCAATACTGGATCCTCACTGGAACTCCCCTTAAATATCCTTTGCTGCCCTGTATTGTGGCCATGGAGATCCTGCAGCTTTGGATCTCCAAGAATGGCCCCTTCATGTGCTCCAGAAGATCACAGATGGGGGGTGGGGGTATTGCAGAGGGCTAACTCATAGTCCTGGATCTGGACCTGGATAATAGCTGAGTTGGTCAGCCCACCAGCTTTCCTGCATCCTCACCACCAGGGTGAATTCTCCAGCCCTGCACCAACTAGCTCACCTAATGCTGCAGGCAGCAAGGGATGGGGCCAGTTCTACTCTCACACCCTTGGGGCTGGCTTACCTACACCTATACCACCAGGGCCAACTCTACTGTGACGCTCAGGTGAGGTGCAGGACCAGCTCTCCCATTCTCATGTCCCTGAGGCCAGGTCTCCCACCTGCTGTTGGTGGCAAGGGGCAAGGAGGGTAGGACACCTTTCTCTCACCCATACCACCACACAGCAGATGAGGAACAGAGCCAGCTCTCCAGCTCATACCTTCAGGGCTGGCTCACAGGCTCCCCTGGCACCAGGGCCAGCCCTACTGTGCTGCTCAGGTGAGGTTCAGGGCCGACTCTCCTGAGTGCCACAGCTGATGAGGGGCAGGGACAGCTCAGCAGCTCTAGTGCAGCACCCAGTGAGGGGTGGAACCAACTCTGTGCAGCCCTTGGATACCGTGGTCCCAGGCAGCAGACAAAGGGCACCCACATGGTCTTTGGTGGTAACATGGGTCATGGACATCAACACAGACCCCTGCTGATGCATGGCCACAGACCCAGACCCGGTCTTTAGTGGCAGCTCAGGTAGGGACTTCACCATGGCCCCAGGTGGCTTCTCAGGCTATTCATATCAGGCTGTTCCTCTCCACCCTCGAGTCTCCAGACCCACCCCTCTCCAAAGTGCTCAAGCTGTTCCACTTCTCTTACTCTCCCATCTCTCCACCCCATACCTGCACATTGTAGTAGCTCCTGCTGTGAGCAGGGCCTCTGGG